ACAAAATCCTACACACTGTTCCTTAAATCAATAATAAAAAGGTTAGTTCACCTTAAATACATCTTTATTAATAAGCTGTAAATAAATATATGTATTAATGTTTTTCCCAAAAAAGCTAATTACTTCCAAAACCAACATAATCATTGTTTATTAGTAACTCATGAATTAACTATTCTATATTCTGTGTATAGATACGCAAATGTTCATATAAATGTACTTTCACTCCATGAGAACATCTACTAATCCTTCAGTGCATCAATAATTAAATCAGTTGTTAGTAAAGTCTTTTTGTGAACCTGTCTAAAGTTTGGCCACAAGTTCCCTTTCACCTCTGCAAATCAGACTGAAATCATACTCAGTTYAAACATTCTCCAACCATTAGGGGTGGGGTACTAGGAATTTTGGTAATGATCCGATACCAAGTAAAWACAGGGGCTAGTATTGCCAATTCAGATACCAATACTTGTCATGCTCATTGAATAATTATGAGGTTTTGCCTTTAGTTAGTTAATTATGATCAAATGAATGACGTTTTCCAGATTAACTAACCATTTATTATTGATTAAGCAAGGCTACATAAGGTAGTTACTAAAAATTGTTACCTTAGGCGCATCACAGACCTATTGCTCAATCGGTTGCTGAAATACCTCGACTCTAATCCCTGAGACTTGCAGGRGGCGAGTCAAACACTCAGCTCGACTGTCGGTACACCTGTGGACCTTCATAATGAGAACTCGGAGGGAAATCTAGTCCCTTCATGACTGCCGTTCGGGTACAGTAAAGTGAGATACCTGGGTCAGTGCAGGATGAGTTCAGGAGGTCATTGCAGTCACTTTGCAGCGCTCCATGGCTGTTGCCTTYGTTACATTTCTTTGACTACATTGTTGCCTTGATGTTTTCGTTGACAAATTGTGATATTTCTCATAAACTGTTTCTTTCATCGGAGTAAAAGAATAAGAGGTAATTTTTTTTTATGATTCTGACTGTCACTTTTGTTTTCTGGATGATTAAACCTGACACAGTTTCAGAATGAACCTGTAAAACTGCTGACTTTTTTTTATTATCAGTTAATCACCTAACAGAACAGTTTAGAAAGTGTTAACTCAGCACACCACCTGAGCATCTGACMAGCCAGCGATGAAGAGAAGTTTGAAACGTTTTCATTTCTGTTATGATGCTGGCATTCCAGTTTGGTCACATTCTTTTGAATTGTCTCGTCACTTTTAAATAGCGATACATTCATGGCTGCAGTGAGCAGAAAACATGTTTCTTTTCTCTCACAAACCCTTTATGACATCTGGGATTTGAGGGCTGTAAAGTTTATATTTTTAGTTGATGCTATCGTTCTAATGTGGAAGACCAAAGAAGAAGAAACCTACGGCTCATGTGACGCCTGGAGCGGAGAGAAGAGGGAGTTGTTTACTCCACACTGCCGCTGTGTTGGGTGTCATGTTTAATGTGTTGGGAAGAATGRATCTTCATGGTGTTAGGATGATACACAACCAGGCTGCATCTTCATGTTGCGTTTCTGCCCTTGGTTTTTGCATCATGTGRTTTACCACTTTTCAAGAACAATGAAACTATTTTCTTATTGTGTATGGCTGCTTTATAGTTTATTCGGTACACAGTCTGCAAACTTAAATTAATAGTTTAAGCCAGTAAATTGTTGGATTTGATTGTCACACTGAGTGGCGGTGAATTCTTTTGTGTTTTCTTATGTACGCACACATACTGTCTGCACCTCCTGCCGGTTCTGTAAACTAAAGCTCATGCATTAGCATTTAGGTGAAACTCCTGCTCCGCCGTTTGCTGTCTGTCCCAGATTATAATCTCATCTTCCGTTTGGGCATTTGACAGGAGGTGCAGTTCTGCCTGTATTTGCAGAATAAGGTTTTCACCTGAATATTACTAATCACACGCTTTCTAAAACTTGAAGTTAAGCGCAACTATTGTTTCACTCTAACGAGGTCGAGCATGAGGAGGGCAAAATTCAAAACTTGGCCCAAGCCAAGAGGCAATTTCTTGTTTATTATTAAGTTATATTACAAATTATTCTTATAGAAATACAAATGAACTTTTCCACATTGTTTTATGCAGCATTTAGAACATGCATGACTT